TATATATATATATATATGTGTGTGTGTGTATAATAAATTTACATTAAATATATACAATATACATGATGTTCAAAAAAGGTCGGGACCATGGATTTACTCAGGAAGATGATATTTTTGAAAGAAATGTTTTAGATAAAAGCGAATTGTAAAATATAAAAAGATCCATTTACAAATCTTATCAGACCTTGGATAGCGTCGCTAAGGCGTCGCCTTGATCTTAACAAATATTATCCAGAACATAATCTTCAAATAAATTAGCTAAAAATAACTTTTTTTATTAGACATCCAAAAATAAAAAGCCTTTAAAGTAAGAAATTAATTTCTACTTTAAAAAATTTTAAATGTATAATATTTTTGTCCACATTCTTTTACATGTATCAATTCCTTTTAAATCCATTAATTTTTTCCGACAATAATGCAAAGTATATACAGCTTCCATCTTTCCCATCGTTTGCATTTTACTAAAAATGCTTTTCTCACCTGCAGGAGATCGATGTTGAAAAAAGAGTATCGATCCTCAGTACTGAGTATAACTGGAACTATTGGAAATTACATTAATACAATGTGTGATTTCATATTGCAAAAATAAGATCATACATATGCATTTATAGCCATTGTTCTAGACGCACTACATTTCCTATCGTGTTTAATGATATATTTAAATACAATTTACTGATTATGTTTAGTCAGACGGATATCATGCATATATGTAATGGGAGCTTTTCAACAAGAGACACAAATTGAGACAAGAGACAAGAGCCTGTCCTTTGATCAATAAGAAACAAAGACAAAATAATTCTTGTGTCGATTTATGCTTCTACTGGAAAGCTCCCAATGTAATCAATTTCGTATGCCGATTAGTCGCGTATATAAAATTCTGAGCATGGAAAACGATCGGAACTATTGGAAAAACAAATATGGAGTGACTAATGATCGTCATGTATCTTGGCGTCGAAAAGAATTTCCTTGTCTTATTCCTGTCTCGAGTTAAAAGCGATTTAGTAGGAATTCCATTTGCATCCGAACAAACGGCGAAGATAGTAAAGGATGATAACGCGGAAAACTAATCTTGAGGGACGTCAAGTGACTTTAACGAGTGTTACCTTGCGAGCGATGATGTAATCACAGAAAATGCAGTCCGGTACAGTCGATTTTGATTTATGATGAAGCACAGACAAAGTTTGAGATTACAATATTGAATATTTATTTATTACGTACGAACCAAAACTCCCAGAAGAACAAAAACAAGCAAAATTTGAAATTCCGAAGTTGATAATATATGAAAAATTGATGAAAGATTCGAAGATTGAATTACATTATTTCGAATATCGAATTATTTCGATAATCTACAAGGTAAATCTTTCAATGATTACATAAATATTATTGTGAAACATCAGACAATATAAATGCTTAAAGAATGTCTAATTGTAAATTCAAAGAAGATGTTCCCTAACGCTTAAAGACTTCTAAAAGATATCTAAAACTCTTTCTTTGCAAATGCTACCTGCGAGGAGACACCAGGAGATCCATAACAGCAGTAAAGATATTACGTACGTAACTGGCATATCTGAATATTTCGCGTACGTGGCTCTCCGGCGAGCAGATAAATATGAATATAACGGAAATATGATTATTGATGAGTGTTAATAATAAAAGCCAGACTTCCGACAAGTCATCCCCACTTTACGCCTAGATTCTGCCGCTACATTATCTTTTCGTCATGTAAACGTTATTACATTCCGACGTGCCAACAAATTATCATTGTGCACAAGAATATAGATAGGCGAGATAATTCGCGTAATTTGTGATGATGATACGATCAAAACAAAATGAGTTGGAGAATAAAATAAAAATAATAGAATTATCTTTTCCCGATCCAGCTCTCTTTAGCTAATGAAAATGATATTGTGAATTCTCAGAAAATTCTCTGTGCAAATGATATTATGAATAAGAAGACAATAAAAAGAATAAATGAAATAAAATATATTCGGCTAAAGCTGGCAAAGAGCTCATGAAAGTATAGGTATTGCGTTGAAAATTCCGTTCACTATTAACGTCCATGAGCGTCACAGGAATGTTCACTGGAATTCGTTTACAACTTTTGCGATTATGTTGCAATAAAGGTATAACCTTCGGTCAAAATAAAAGCAAACAATTCATAGAGCCATAATAATTAATGATACGGATGTAGAGGAAACGGAATACGATTAGCAATGACATCAATAGCTGTTACAATTCACAATTCAAGTACTATACAATCATGCATGACGATAATTTATATTTAAGCAACGAAGGAAAAATCAGAAAAAAAGTAATCGATCATTTCTTGAAAAATTAGTAATTAGTTTTATTAATAATTGATTAATTGAATATTTTAGATTCGGTAAATCACAATATAATTTTTTAACATAATAATAACTGAATAAGATGAAATTAATATAGGAATATTATAATTTTTATATTTAATATTAATTG